TAGCCTAGAAACAATGTTTTTATTGCTGGATTTGCCTTATTTGGAGCTACATCATCTCACAGTCTGTGATACTGTGTACCATCAAAATAAGTTATCGTCGTACAACTAGGTATGCCCATGCATTTCATTCCTTATCATGTTTCTCAAACAATACCTTTCACAGTTAGCTCTTTTAAACATCACTGTTCTGTGCTCAACTTCCTAACTTACTAGGATAATTTTGCATTTCATTTCTGTCTGCTACTTGGTTAATATTCTGAGAATTATAGTATTTGGAAACTTTGTTTCCAAGTATCCGTTTTTAAATTTTATTTATCACATTTGTATAGCTGCCCATCTCACATAGTGATTCTGGGCGGTGTACATAATAAAACAAAATACAGACAGAATGGAGGCAAAGCATACAGAGTATATCCAGTTAACTATCATACAGCTATCTAACAGGTTCCGCTCTATCATGGGATCCCCAAGCTCGTTGGCCAAGCCATGTTTTGAGGGCCTTCTGGAAGGCCATCAGGGCTGGGGCCAGCCTCACCTTGGGTGAAAGGATGATCCACAGGATGGGAGCCATGGCAATTCTGTGGTAGCCCAAGGTGTGCCACTCTATTAGTCAAATGTACTGTCAGAGATCAAAGCATTCTGGCCTTACCCTTCCTTTGTACCCATTTACTCTTCTTTCATATATTTTTGTGTGGTTTAATCCTCCTTCATTCTGTGTGATCAAACCATTTCGGTGTACATTTTTTTTTACTGATCACTCATTTTTGTATTCATTCATTTTTTGTCCATAAGAAAGGCTGCATTGCCACTGTGAGCTAAATGGAATCCCTGACTTCCAGCTGCTCAACTCAGAAGCTGATCGCAAAAACTTCTGTTCTTGCAATCTACTCATGAGGAGCATCTGTATGGAGTACACATGAGTTACCTTACGCTCTCTCCTTGCTCTGGAAAGACTTCACCAGTCCGGATCCTGCATCCAGCTGCGATCTCCGCTGTAAATGCTGTCCCATTCAAACAAGGACGTCTAGCTCGTCATGAATCCTCACCAGAAATGTTTGTATTCATTCATGACCCATTCATTCTTCACCCCATCTTTTCTTGTTTTGTGTGTCAGCACACTGCCCATACCTCCTAGTTGGTAGATGTGGATTATAAGAAGTTGGCTTGCTGGTTGATTGGATCTCCTGGCTTTTGTTGTGCTTGTGGCATACTGGCCAAAATGTGCCAGTCCTTATAGTTCACAGGGAATGCTGCATGTGGCAGGGGTATGATGGAGGCAGGCAATCTTGTTGACTCCTTCTCTATCTTACTAAAAAGGATGACGTGAAAGTGTTCTGTTGTAAACAACTGTCAGTGTCTTTGGCTGCTGCCCAAATTGAAAGGGGTTCTTTTCTAAGCCCAATTTTCACAAAATTCAATTTAGCAAGGTTTATTGAGATGGATGAGATGGGGATTACAAGAATCCCAGCAACTGAACTACATTCAATTTAGAACTAATATATACCCATATGCATTAAGGGGGAGATTTTTTTTCTTGAATCTCTAGCAGTCCGGGAACCAATTCTTGCAAACCGAAATTTACTTCCGTATTAAGTAATAGAACCCATGGGATTTATTTATTTATTTATTTAATTTCTATAGCTGCCCATCTCAGCCAACTGACTCTGGGCAGCAAACAATTCTAAAACAACAAAAGCAGTTAAAAACAATACAAAAAATAATGCACAAAATCTACCAATATTTATGATATTCTGCCCTTTTTATTCACCAAAGCAACACTAAATTCAGCCTACATTTAAACTGCACCAGAACAGAATGACTGTAGGAGACATTATTAAAACTGGGTGGCTGCTACAGAACAAAGTCCTGTGTCCAGATGACCTTAGCCTCCAAAGATGTGGGCACATAGAGTAGGGCCTCTTCAACCCACCATGCGTGAGAAGTGGTGCAAAGATAATTCTTTAGGTATGTTGGATCAAAGTCGTTTAATACAAATGCATCTCGGACAAAAGAAAACAGATTCTGAGTACACCTCTGCTTAACTCAGATTCTAAAAAACTTGGTCTGCTTATAGCCAAAGAAATCAGGAGTTTGGTAGGTTGGCTGGATTTTCTGTTTGAAGTATTCTTGACATCATAAAATGAACTAGAGGGATATAGCCCCAGCTCAGCCTCCGAACTCAGTGTCTAAAGCAGTGGTTACGCCACCGTCACCTTAGACTAACGGGGCTGTTACAAATCCTGCAATGCTCCCACATCAGTCTGGTCGTACTTTTTTCAGTCTGCTTCACAAGACAGAATCTACTTTTGTCTGTATTTATGTAATTCAACAGACAGTCATTCCTATCTGCTTTGCTGTGGTTACAAAGTCAAACAGTAGTATCTTCGTTTTGAGTGATCGTATTTCTTCTTCTGAAAATGGATTGGATCACATTTCAGACACTGTATGCATCCATTTAAATACCGAGTGTGAAAGCTCACTGATTTCAATAGTGTTTTCATTTTTCTACGTGCAAAACATTTTTTATTTTGGTTACTCATGGAGTATTTTTCCTGGTCTCCCTGTAACCTTGAAACATATTCCCCATCAACTCTTCGTTGATACTTTCAAGAATCGTCCTTTAATAAATATTGTACATTTATCAATTTGTCTAGACAGAGAATCTCCACATTGTTTCCATATTGCTAGAACATATAGTAAATTCATTTAATAGTAGCAAAGGCAAAGATAATACTTTAGACTTGGTTGTAGATTTTAAAAATAAGTATACAATAGCTCAAATGAGAGCCACCATCCTCTTTTCTGCTCTTGTCCATAGTCAGCATATATGGGAGCTGGGCTATCATTGGGCTAAGCAGTGGCTAAAAGCTTTTTCTCAGATTTTCCAAGGCCGAACTATTGCAGCAAAAACTATTTCTGAGATAAAACCTCTTGCAATTGATGCAGATGGACTTTAGTCACGAGATATGTTTTTGCAAGTTTAACATACCTATCTTTTGGAAACTATTATTACTTAAAAAATACTAATCTATAAAAATAGTATTATCTTCCAGATCTACAGGACTCTTCTATGTGAATTCAAATGAGATAAGAAAGTGGAGCTACAATGGTTTAGATGCACAGAGCCTGCTGATTCCATTGGAATTAACAGGCAAGCTTGCAAGAATTGTCCTCCATATGTTCTATTCCAGGCAAACATACAGAGGATGTAAATCTTTAAATAGAAACGTTCTTGTTTTCTAATGAGGATCGACAATACTAAAGCATATCTTAGATGCATTCCTTTGTATTTCTGGCCCCAGACATTTGGTAGAAACCACAATTATGTCAAAAGGTTGTGTGCATCATGTTATCATCGTGCAAATAATGCAAGTAGGTAATTCATGTTATTTGCATGATGATATCGATGCACACAATGTCACTCCATCCTCCCCAGACACCTGTTTCTAGCCTAAATTTCCAAAACCAACTCACACTGCCATTTTTGGATGTTCAGGAGGGCTGAAATTCCATTCAGATATCACACCACACTATCATAGTTCAAAATGAAGGGCATTATTTTAATATATGATTTTATATTCTACATA